AGAATTCGATTTCGGGAAGATGAAAAAGGATTTTTTTTCCTTCCGATTGCAGAGAGCTAAACTTAGATCACATAAAACAGGCTGTTTTTAAGTCGCTATATCTTACCAAGACTAAAAAAATAAATTTGACCTGATTCTCTTAAAAAGAGTTATTTATTTCCTTAAAATAAATCGTTCAAAAAAGTAGTTCTATAGAAATCGTGAAAGATTTCTAATGAAGCACACTTTCATTAGAGATCATTCAGGATTTCCGAAAAGACGTTTAATGTGACTTTTTAAACAGCGCTAAAAGAACTTGCATTTTGTACGATTTTCTAAATAAAGCACTAAATTTAATCAAAAATAGGATAAAAATTAGCTATAGGAACTGGAGTAATGTAAAACGAAGCGTTTAATTAGCATTATGCAATGCATGTAGGTAATTTTATCCTTTTTCGGATGACGAAGTTCATGAAGTTTGGCTTATGCATTTATGGCAAATGCGCAAAATGCTATTTAGGTGCCAGAGAAAATAAAGTTATTATGTTTCAAGAAGATAATAATGCAATTATATTAAAATAATTATAGTATAAAAATAAAGTTCAAGTCTATATTCTCCGCATATATTTGTTGCCAATCATATTTTCAATCCTCTAGTTTATACAACTAATTCTATATTTACAGGCGTCTTCTACATAACATTGATTCAATATTATTTTGTGGGACAGACAACTTTCCATAAGTATGTCTTGTTTTGATCTTAACATAAATTCTAACAACGTCTTTGCAAGAATCTCTATTTGAAACTCGCATTTTAAGAAAGAAACCCTTTCGTATGTTTAATACAATATAGGTTCATTAGGTTATTTTTAAGCAGAAAACGTGAAAAATGAACAATGCCCTCGCCGGGATTCGAACCACGGACCTCTCGAATACACGCCGAGCGTGCTGACCACTACACCACGAAGACATGCTAAGAAGGCGAGAGAAATACGTTATATACTCCCCCTTTTAAAGGGCGACTGGGGATTAGGGAACCCAGTTGCCAAATCCTGGTAGTCAAGAATCATCAACCACCACCCTTTTAATTCGGGCGTTATAGTAGAGACATAATGTTATTTCGAAGCAGGAGGTGTGAAAAATGAGCAATGTCCAGGGCGGAACTCGAACCACGGACTTTCATTACATTCGAATACGCGACGAGCGTGCTGGCCACTACACCACGAAGGCATGCATGCTAACAAGGCGGGAGAAGTACCTTATAACAAGAAAAATAAATTAGAATTATTTTTATAAAAATGATTTGCTAGAATCAAATGTTTCTAAAATAGTTTGATTTCAGGCGTACTCATTTTATACATTAAAATTCTTCAAATAAAATCTGTAGTTTCTGTAACCACATAATTATTCTCTATTTTACTCTACAAAAGCAATATAAATTTCTTCTCTTGCTTTATCAAAACATTACTTTAGTATCTTAGTTTACGCGAAACTAATACAGTTCAAATTAATTATGAATGAGAGAAAGTGTAATGAAATTGTTTAGTTAGTATTAGGATATATTACTAAAAAATGCATAAAATTTTCTATATTCGATATGAAATGTCAAAACTAGTCAAAGTGAAAATCTTCTTAGTAATTACATATGGAAGTCTCATTGTATTCTCATTGTATTACATGTGTAAATATAAACGTACGCACAAAATAAAAAGTGGTAAAATAAAGATACATATTTAAGCCAAAATTTAAAAGTGAAATCTCTCCAAAATGAACCTTTTAAATTTCTTTGTTGCCAGAAAACGAAGTTAAATATTAATGAACAAACTCCACACGAAAAAATAAAATTAGAAGTAAAACGTAAAATAATAATGAGCGCAACGTAAATTTAATTAAAAAAAAGAAATTTAGAAATTATATTAAAATGAAAAATGTAAGAAACCTTAATTAGACGAAATATTTAAGTTATTAAAATAAACAAACAAATAAAATGCTAGCGCGAAAAGTGAATCTCATAATTTGAGCGGACTCGCAGCATTAATGACTTTGTTACGCGGTCTGAATAACAAAATCACTAAATGAGAAGATTCCTCGTACGTATTTTTAAACAGATAACAGTACTTACATAATAATGTAATTAAGCAACGTTGTATCTTGCTCGGCGAAAATTCGTTTCATTTTAAAAATGAAAATAACACTCACAAAACTCAACGTAATTATTCATATTACGTTATGAAAAAGAAACACGTTATGAAAATGAAAGGAAAGCGATTAAAAAACTGGGTGACTGCATGTGACTGTACACAACTGCTGTTATTGTCTCATTATTAGTAATAATTTAAATGTTGCGAATGCGGAATCATAACAGAAACAGAAGGAAAAGTATTGGTGGGATTTCCATCGATTTTGTGCAGCGGCTAGAATTAATTTTGGAAATCAGTGTTATGACAAGCTGCAAAATGAACTGCTTCAGTATCGGGAGATATTGGTGTTGCTTCAGACTTCTTCCAAAATAGCTTTCGTATGCATGCATACACATCGAGCGCAAAGTTAGTTTGGGGCCCCGAAGTGAAAGGACATTGTCACATTCGCATTCATTAATCAAAGGCCACGAAACCGTAGAAGGGCTGGCTCATTGTCGGAGGACTTCCAGAACAATCGTCGAGGGGCAGTCCAATTAGTCTTCGCGCCGGCATGCGTTTTGAGGATCTTCAACGACATATGCTGGACGTGGCTGGTGCCGTTTAGTTTGTAGATTGTTTCCGCAGCGTTACAGCGACGGGGTACATTTTGTAGAAAAGCACCAAATTTGATTAAACTTTCAGAGTATCTTACAGGAATACAAATGGTTTTGTTCACTAAATTAAAATCTTCCTTTATAAACTTGATATCAGTACGTAAAAGAGCCAAAACCTGAACTTGTAATCCATGCAAATAATCATAAGCCCGCAGATACGCACTTCGAAGAACGAGGAACTACTGTTACTTCTTAACTAAGGCTCTAATGTCATTTCTACAGAAACACTAACACAGAACAGCAGTATACAGACATATATTAATATCAAAGTAAAATATTAGGATTTAACAAAATAGCCCTTCTAATATTCAAGCAAATTTAAAATAACAAGCAAGGGTTGTAAAACAACAACAAAATATTCTCTCTACATCGTAAGTTTAGGCAGGGCTGCGTGTTATAAAATTATTCCTAGTTAATTGCCATGAAAGTAGATTACTGATTACACGTTGCTGGGGAAAACAGGAAAAGTGCAATTAATCTACGTTAAAGGAAACATTTGGAGGAGATATTCCAGACTTCAGTTCTCATTTTATTAAATAGACATTAAAATAGATAGACTAGTAGCTAAATAACCACCAAGCATTGTAGAACATTTATGCGTAATGAGGAACGAATTATTAAAACAAAGCCTTTATAACACAATATAATTGGGGAAATGCAATGTTATTCTAAAATTTTAATGTCATTGCAATACTCGCAGAAAAAACACATTCATTTTCGCTTTCACAATTATCTTCTTCATCCTGAATCACTTTATTTACCAAATGAGTAAAATATTCCTTATTAATGCAATTGGATAATTCATGATTCATGATAGTTAGAAAAAAATACATTAATAACATTGGATTACAGAAGTCTACTATTTAATTTTAATATGCTAAATGATTACGATCATTTGGAGACACAATAATGATAGATAAGTATACAACTGATTTCACCAAAGCATTCCACATCTATCTGCCTTGCCATCTATCTTCATGAAAGACTTCCTATGAGAACTGGAGTCCCTCCACTAGCGAAAGTTTAGGACCGCTGAATACTAGTAGTTCGATCCAGGTTCGATCTTAGGCGAACCTTTTGGTTGCATAGCTGGTTTTAGTGGTTTACCTTTGTGCAACGTGAATAAGAGCCAGTTCTCCTGAGAAAGTCCTCTCAGAAGGGAAGTTAGACTTCGTGTGCTTTGCCGTATTCAGATAACCTAACCTTTAGAAAACTGCCTACAAATGCCTTCCTGTAATGCAAATAGCCGTAATCTAATAAAATTTAATAAATTCGCTGCACTCTTTAATTTGAGCTTGAAATTCACTTGCTTCTCTTCCATACATTAGTAAGATTGGTTCAGTTTTATTTTACAGGAAAACTCCGCATTTGCGAAGTAGTTCGTTTTCCTACCAATAAATTCATAAAGCTGGAATTCGAAAGCGAGATAAAATTGTAATTTCGACTTTTATCTGATGGCATTGCCATTTCAATGGTTTAATTTTGAAAAACAATTGTTCATTAGGTGGAAAAATATGTATTTCCCTTTTCATGTTAAAAAAATTAAAATTGAACTTAATTTTATTTTAAAATGTTTAATTCGCAACCCTGAGGTTTCGAAACAAGTAGTGTGAAAAGTGAGAATGACTACATGAGTTTCTGTTACAATTCATTTCTCTCGGATCTATCCACAGCCAACTGGTTAAAGCCGACAAACACTGGCACCTTCTTCGCAAGACAGGCAGGCTGCATATAGCCCTCGTGTTTAATGAATACTTGAAGCAGTAACTCCTACCGTGTTTAATGAATACTTGAAGCAGTTACTCTCTGAAATTCATAATGAAAGAATCCTTCTCCAAGCAAAGAAAAGTGATATAAGTTTCCTCCTTATCTAACCAATCAAACAATTTTTTTATGAATTACATCAGTTAATTCTTACTTTAAGTACTACAAGTGTACTTCAAGTATTAAAGTAAGATTCAAATTTTTTCTTTAAATACTAAAAAAGGTCCATTTAGTTTTTTAAAAATTTTAGAATGCCCATAAGTATTTATTAATGCTAATAAGTTTTTATTCATTGCAGGATTTGAATTATTCTACTCAAAAACATTTATTTTTATTTCCGTAGCAAGATTTAGTTATGAAAACGATATATAATACAAGTTACGATTTCATAGAAGTTAACATATTTCCAGATATATAAAAGCCCGTAAAAGAAAAAATTCCCCTAAAGCATGCATTACTTTACCTGTAGTTTCTTTAAGTAAAAGTACTAGCGTCGCTACACCGATCCTTCGTCAGCGCGAATGATGACACTTCCTGAAAGAAGACAAAAATTAGATAATTAAATAACATATAATAAATTATAAACTCATTAGCTATCAGACATACTCTTCATCAAATCCTATCACTGTTTAATTATCTTTATATAATATATCTTCATTTCCCCCCTATAAATATTGAAAAAGAACGCTATTAAAATGCTACTTAGATCTTCAATCTTAATGATGTTGATTTTTCCGTTATTTACAGTTTACACTCCTGCTGTGATTACCACTTTAATTTATATGGATCTATTTTTCATTACAAATTTTTACAGCAGGTAAATTGTTAGTATTATTTTTCTGTTAAGTACAATATGCATTATTCCTCTTAGATGTGCATTTTTTAATTATTATTAACCGCGATTTTGAATTAACTAAGGACGCCGTCCTAATCGTGATTAATCGGGAGTTAACTGAAATTAAAAAATGCATGAAATGAATCTCCTCATTAACAACTATAGTTTTAAGACTATCTTGTCAAGATAGTACAAAATTTGAAGGTATAAGTAATCTGGTTGAAAATAAATGAAAATATAACTACTTAAACTTGTTATTTGCTGTATTTTCATAAAGGCACAGTGCCAAAAAGATAAAACTACTGAACACTATTAGTTTGAAACAGAATTTAAATCCCTACAAATGGAATGGCTACATGGGCGTTTTCGTGTTTTCTCTCATGTGTAACATGAATACGACTCTTAGAAAGTTCTCCAAGAAGACATCCCTTTGCTTAGGCAAGGTAGTCCTTCGTGTGCTCTGCCATAATCTAATGGATAATTTTTGTAAAGTGGTAAAAATCCGTCTATGGCAATAAAATCAGTTGCCAAAAATTGTTACGCTTTTGCTTTTCATTAAACTTTTATAAAGGATAGGGATTTAAATTAGGAATGAATTGTTTCTGCCAGAAATATAAAACTTTATATTGAGTTAATTCCTAATACCTAAGCTTGTGATTTCTATAAAAAATTCTAAAAATTCTTACACAAGCCATTTAAAATTTATATTCATTTTTGATTTCAAAATTACTGAAATGTCGAAAGCATTAGTTTCTCAGTTACATAAGCATTCCACATTTAAAAGTACACGATTGAAATTGAAAGGCTTTTTCCTGTTAAGTTAATTAAACAAAACACTCATCAAATGCTGTAAGCGAATTGAAAATATTTGAGCTTTATTGTAGAAACTGCATACATAAAACATATTTTAAAAGGCCTGACTGAGCTGAACTGAAATGAAAAACTTGACACAACCATAAAAATTAACTATATTACGCTAATATTTGAATTGCTGCATTTACCGATAACAGTTTTAAATGTATTGCCACAATAATCGTGTAGTACGCTCAGTATTTTTAACGATGTACCTTTAAATAGAACTCCAATCAATTTTGCTTCGAAGTATCCAGATACAATTAAAAAAAAGGTCAGATAAAAACGAAAAATAATATGCTTAGCAGTTTGAATCTTTTCTCCGTAACAACATCGAAAGGAGGCGTGTGCTACCGTGTATTGTACACGGGGTATTTCAGCTTCGTTAAACCTACAGGTGTTTGTAGTTTGATGTCGCGATAACTCTATCCGTTTCAGACCATGCCCAGTCCTAATTAAAAGAAATGTCAACGAAAGAAAACTCTTATTCTGTAACGATCTGCATTTGTGGACGGCTGTCTTTCAACTTGTCACGTTCCGGCGATTTAAAGCTTTGCTGAACAGAATCAAATTAATGACGATGTGAGCCTGAATTACAGCTTTGATAAAGTTCTTTTAGAATAATGATTATGTTTAACGAATCTTTCATCTCGAATAGTACCTCGAAAAGATAATGCCAGAATTTTTCTACAGTGAAATTCCTTTGCTGAACGTGACAAGAATAGAACTCAAAGACACTAGTTTAAGTGCAGAGTTTTTATAAAGGTAAATTTTTTTGGATAAACTGGAACTGACGCAATTCACTAATGTCCACATTTTTTGCACATTAAAACCGCGCTGTTATGAACATTTTAAATTAGTAGAATATAAACAAAATCCTAAATAATCATATGTTCAGTAAAAACTCTAGGCTCATTACTTGAAGAGTGGTAGTTTGTTCTAGATTCTCTTTTCATATGATTTTCGGAAGCTGTTTATAGTTAATTAATTCAATGAAACCGTTGTACTTAAATTAATAAGCTGAATATCACCGGCCAAGAAGTTAATCCAAGTGATGCAAAGGGTCTTCATTCATAAACTTGTTCAAAGGGAAGCAGGAGAGAAGATAACAAATATCCACGTAAGTGGAAGCAGGCAAGAAAGATCTTCAATAAGGGATATTACCGACCTTTAACTGAGATGAAGAAAGTGAACTGTCTGCCCATTCATATTAAGAATGACTTCATATTAAGTCATCGATGAGCTCTTGCATCGTGTAAGGATTATGACTAAACTTGATTGCGCGTCTGAAATGCTACAAGAGGAATTCGCCGATCGTAAGTGTGGAATTGTCGCTGGATATTAGAGAAGTGCTGCGAGGCATCTCCCGAGAACATTCCACGCGTCTTTAAGTCTATTTAAGGCTCAGAGACCTTCAAGCCAATTCATATAAATTTCACCTATTGAAAGCCAAAATACCAACAAAGTTTCAAACATTCAAAGCCAATCCATACTTATCTTCGATCTCTAACAGCTCAATATCAGCCGTTGTATCATAAAATATAGCGCTGTTCATGAAGAGGAACTCATATCCCACAGCAATCCGTAATTGAAGAGTGTAAAAAACGAATATCGATTTGTATCGACATTCACGGCCTTAAAGTAGGACTGAATTTCTATGAAAGACATATAGCTTCACATAGAGACAGTGTATTATACTTTCTGAAACGAATATTTCGCTACTTTCAAACTGTTGTCCTTTGAACGATGTGTTAGAGGAATGTGCATACATGACCCTCTCTCCAAATAGTTAAACCTCGGGAACAGCTAGATGGAAGTCCATACAGGCAAATGCTGTTGACTCGTCCGAACTGGAAGTCGTCAATAGCATATACCGTATTTGCCGTTGAGCGAACAAACCACCCGTGTGTAGTTCCCCGGCTACAATAAAACGTGATTTTAGAGTGGATTGCATGTTTTTTGCAATTTTACAAGCTGCCTGTTGTTGAACTCTTATCCGTAGGAAAATGTACCGATTCTCCCTCGTCATGACTGCTAGTGAACAAACATTATCAAATCTTCAGATAGCTATTCCTGTCATTTGAAATGCCATCCAAGCTCGTGACACATTACTGTGCAACTCCTCTAGCCATTGTGACTGTCCTTCGAACAGTTAGGTGGGCCAAGCTTCGCCTACGTTATAGTACTGTGTAACTCCTCGGCCACACTAGTCACCTATCAAACTTTTTCCAGATTTTCAATAATATGACCTTCGATAAAATCTTTCATATGCTGTCTGTGGGACTTTATGTAGGAACTTCTTGTTCTTCGCCCTGAGAAAGCAATTCGATGATAGTCAAAACAATGTGGTCAAAACAATACACTACATCTTAGTGGAAACTTTATTGAATAGCGATTCAATAAAGTTTCCACTAAGATGTAGTGTATGCACCGCTTTAGTTCATCCCTTACCTACATTGCCAAAGTTACATCATGATGAGTATATGTGTAAGCAGTACCATACCATGCCCTGATTAATCTTGTGGTATATTCTGCTGCTTCTTTCTGTTGTTATGCTATTTTTTTCATTTCGTACTTAATTTTTTCTCATCTTAGACAGAGAACCTTCGCGTTCTTTGCCATAATCGATTAAACAAATTTCACATTAAACAATTTAGAAGTATGTTCGATTTATTTGCCTCATCATCGCAAATAAGAACGTTCTTTTTTGTAATCATACCAGTGGCAACAAAGATAAAAAAAAAAAAGCATGTAATGTTCCGTACGTTCTAAACAATGCAGAAGTCGGATAGCTCTCCAAATGTTCGACTTTATTCCCGCTTAAAAACAGACTGGTGTACTATCGTAATAAAAAAATGTGTTACTATATGGTGATCAAATAAGTCTGGAATTCATGTCACTTTGGATTTCTCGTAAATATTTCCAGCCATACACAGGTATTGTCTAGATTTAATTTATTGAATAATTAAAGCGACAAACTTCATGCTAAACTTTGCTTTGTACTTGTACATTAATCGGAGCAATGGTTATAGTCGAAATTACTTATTAATATAATAATAATAATAAACTCTTCTCATTCTCTAAAGAAGAACATTTCTTCCATCGATAAATCTTATGCAATTTAAAACGTAAAAAATTAAATAGTATCCGATTCCACGATTCATATCAAAGAGTATTAACTAATAATAAATTAAAGAACAAGACATAAAAACAAATGGAAATAGAATACATCCAATAACTGCAGTAAAGTTTGACTACAGAGCTATTTACATAAGAAATGTAATCTGCTGTACTAATATGAAATGGACTTCAACTCAAATATTGCCATTTATCTACGTACTTTACGTAACATTGTTAAGCTATTTTTTTATTTTTTTACAAGACAATAAATAGTTCGTAGATAATTTTGTTTATGTCATGGAATTTGGCAAAGCGTATTAGGGCTATTTGCCCAAGGCCTTCGTCGAGGAATCTGTATGGCTAGCTACACAAGATAAGCCGGCAAAACAACCATACAGCCAGCCCGTTCCTTCTGAATCGAACCCAAGTCGAACTACCAGCGTTTAGCGAATTACTGCTCTACCACTGGTGGGCAGTTTTCTAAGGGAAACTGAATCTTATGTGGATTAGCCATTGGGAAAAGCTCAGTTAGTAATTACAGTTTCCAAGCTATGATACAGTAAATTAATGCAAAAAACTGTATTCCCGAACCAGGGATAGTCCTCATTCCCAGTAAAACAGAAATTCACGAACTAAATAATATATATTGAATGTTTATCATACAAAGTTTTATTTCAGTCAATTATCAAAAATTATCCATACTTCCAAAATACTGTCAGACCAATAA